TGTGTAAGCTCGTTTGGGCGATGTTCGCGCGTGCGTACTACACCCGTGCGACAGTTCGACGAATGCTTTGTAAAGCGCATGCGTAGTAGACTGTCGCACAGGTAACCCGTGCGACAGTCTACTACGCATGCGTATTTACCCTGTGCGTGAATCCTCGCGCCCGCTCTTGGTAAACAGCAAAAATAACATCTGGCATGTGATGGTGAATTGACCAGAGAGAGTTCGGCTCTCGATCATGAATATGTATGAGGTATAGTAATAATACAGACGGAACCATGCTGGCAGCACAGTAATGTACATTGTACATGTATTTACAGACAATTTGTCAGGGTCTGTGTATGGGATAGTACTTAAACTGTGGCCTTGTCATGACAATCAGTATGAGATGCCTAGATACATACATGTACATTGTACATGCATGCACCATATGTACAATACATGCTACAAAATCAGGTGTGCAGCCATGCATGCAACTTCCACGCCTACATGGTCTAGAGAGCCAGAAATGTGTACATGATATTGACTACATATGGCACAGTAATGTCTTCGATACATTGCATTGGCCTCACTGTCAGGCCTCGTTAGGAGCTTTGGGTCTCATGGCAGGTGTTGGATCCCTGGAGTTAGAAATACTCTGGGAATTGCCGACTGAATGGTTTTTAATGTACTTGAATGTACTCGCACTATAGAGTGCAGTATGCTCTCATTTTTCAGCTGGTCAAAAAGAATGTGTTTGTCGCATTTCTGGGCTGAAAAGCTTTACTACCGTTCAGAATTACTCCAGGCGCAAACACTACTTAAAGCTACAGTCCATCATTTGCAGCTATCCAAAAAGTTACTAATATAATTATTGTAATGAAAAGCATACTTGGTTTAAATATAATAATGGGACTAAACTCCTTGTGAAATTGTTCTTTCTGGCATGCTGTCATTTTTAAGAAATCAATGAAAGAAGGCCATTTCCAACGATGCGTCTAAAGACGCACTCTTGGAAATTCCTGTTCGTAGTTTGTTTTAATTCGGCGAAGCGTCCTCCAAAATCAGCCACACATTTTTGCCATGTAGATTCAATTCTGCAAAATTCTCAATTTTGCAAAGAGCATTTTGGAGGATTTGGGAGGGTTAAGATTATTAAATAAAGTATTGTATGATTAACATTATGTGGTGTACATGTACACATATGGTACCGTATGTGCATATGTTCAATTGTAAACAGTACAATTGAACATGTAATCATGGAGGTACATGCATCAGTAAATGTCCATAAACATAATGCATAATTTCAATTTCATAATGCATAGTCTCATCATCAGATTACAAAAATTATTCACAACATCCACTCAAATCATCGCTTCCAAAGTTCATCCTGGAACGTGCCACATCTGTCGTCAACGGCAACCACTCGTCATAATTCCATACATCATCGACCACGTACAAATGCCCACGGTTCCCATCTTCTTCAAAGGCTACACTTGCGTCCGTCCGTGGGGAAATCGCCAGCGGTTTCTGTTACGCAAATGTTATAAGGTAAATTGAAGATCGGGTATACGGTGTCGCCTTCACCTGAAATAAATTGATAGCGCTTCCCTTTAAAATGTCAGCTTTGGTTTACTTGACGGTCGAGTGTTTGTGATAACTTGACATTTCTCCAGTCGGTCTAAGCGGACCACCTGCGTAAAACTCTGACGTGCCAGATTCAAGGAGATAGGTAATAAATTTGACTTGCGATGACAAGCATAAAGGGAAGATATGCGCAACTTAATTAATTCTTGTTGATCTTAGCATTGCTATAAAAGTGCTACATGTTAAGTCCAACACTTTCCATCATTTTTTGTGTGTGGAGAAATGTCTTGCTTAAAGACGGAAATGTTAGGTCAGCTAATTTTGTTGATTTGAATATTTCAGATCAATCCAGTCAGAAAGCAGTTTGATTCTTTTTCAATTACTATTTTAAAACCCTCCTGCTATCTGAACAGTCACAGACAGTCAAAAAACAATCAAACCTCGTCCCCTGCCACATCGCGTAAAGCTGCAATTCAAAACAATTTAAAACATAATTCAGCAACTTTTGATTTGAAATTGAGATCCTAGAATGCTGTTTTTCTCAGAATATACAGCTGAAGCTGAGCTGAAACTTCATCAGGTTAGTTGTTCAGTATCCTTCATTAGATTTTGAACACTTTTGTTGCTTCAAACCAACAAAATGCACTAATTACAAATGATGGACTATATCTTTAAGCAGGCTGAGCATAAACAAGGCAAGGTCTGGCCTAAGCCCTTGACACACTGCATCCTCCAAAATCAGCCATGCAACTTTGCCATATACAATGTAGCCTCAATCATATAAAAATCCTCCATTTTGCAAAGAGGATTTTGGAGGATTTGGGAAGGTTGGGGTTAATATTAAAGCCCACGAAAATGTAATTAACATTTCTTGGCAAATAAGACTTTTTTTGAGGCAGATTTGTTGGAAATTTTGTTGGAAGAGAATCACACAAGGAATACATCAGATTCAGAGCCAACACAAAATAGAACACATCAAATGTCCAAAGAAAGTGCCCTGTTATTTCTAACTAGTACATGTACTAGCAAATAAAAACACAAGATAACTCAACAAAGCACTGTTAATTACATGTAAGAAAAAACTCAACAAACACAAGCAAACGAAAGTCGCAAACATGCACAGTGTTAGCTCAGCAAGAAACCAAAACGCAAAACTTTTTTTGTTACGGTACATGCCTAACAAATTGATCGCATACTATCTGGCATCTCGACGGCAAACACCAATGTCACTCAAACGGCAATTCTAAATGCAAAAAAAAATATGAAATACGAAACATCCAAATAAGGTACACAATTTAGCATTCAAAACTGGCTGTATGCATGTTTTAAACAGAAGCAAACATTGTCACAAAGCAATTGCACACTTAAGAAAATATATCTTTATCATCAATTTACAATGAACATTGTACCGTTTGATGACACTTTCCAATTATAAAATCTGAAATCAAGTGTACACAGACGATCAGGGCACTTGTCAGTTCAGTTCAGTGTAGTTCGAATACATTTATTTCATGTCAACATCATTGAAAAAAAGTGATAACAATGCTCATTTAAACATACACTGCAACTTGTTCAAAAGAAATTGTCTAGATAGCAATTAATAAATAATTAAGTGATGTTAACATGTCGGAAAAAGGAGAAGCAATTCGGGCGATTCACAATGCAGTGCGCCACCAAGAGTTTGCCACAGAGAGTTCATTTTTCCCAGTGCATTGTGGGAGATGGTCGACAAATTCACAGCGCGGGACATTTGAAATTGTTCGTTTTTCCAGTCAGTAGTTTCGTAAGCGTATGATTCGAGTATCTGTTTGCCCTTTTGTTTTCTTTTTATCAATGTGGTGTTTTTTGTGAGGCGGCAGAACGCTATGCCCCAATCTATAACAAATTAGTTCAAGTTGTCTACTGACACTCATTCAAATGGGCCATGTTTTGTCGACCGTAAACATGAAAAATGGACTCTCCATGGCAAACTCTTGGTGGCGCACTGCATTGTGAATCGCCCGAATTGCTTTTTGTTCCCCTTTCCTATGAAGACAAAAACAAAAGAATATACTGACGCAAGGACAAAAGTACATACATACATGTATACGAGACCCCCTTCAATGGAGGAACCATTGTGCACGCTATACTGACGCATTATCTGAACAATAGCTAGCACAATGCTTTCCGCCATTGAAGGGGGCCTTCGTGATAGAATTGACAGCGTGCTCAGATTGATCTATACAAGTTCAATGAATGCTTCTGTTTAATTCTCGACATTTCTCTTGCAAGGCTGTTGTGTTAAACGCCCTCCGAACTGCTGGTGTTTTTTTTAATATTTTGTACGATCTGTGAAATTCTGTGCAGCAAAAAGTTAAAATTGACTTGCAATTTGCGATACAAATCAGAAAATCACTCACTGAAACTTGAATATGTCAAGCATTCTGGCAAAAATGAGACTAAACTGGGCACAAGCCGAAGTGGCGAAAAATGCAAAACAATTTGAACGGGGGTGATTTTTTTTTTTAACTTTCAGATTTATTGATATTTGTAATCTGTGATATGTCCACGAAGTACATGTATGTAATATAAATATTGTGGAATTAAAGTGTTTTTAAGGCAAACCAATTGGCATATTCACGTTAAGTCAATTGGCATATTCACGTTAAGTAACAAAACAGTCAAAACTTGTAAAGTCCTTTTTTTTCAGTATTTAACTTTTTGACACGTCAATATACCCGGTATGCAAACTTTAAACAGCCATAACTTGTCAACAGAATGTCCAATTAAAGTGCAACAAACAGCATTGTAAGGAGAATTTTATTCTCTTTCCTAATACAGTGGAAAGTTGCTATACCGAACACCGCTATACCGAACATTCGGCTATACCGAACATCGTGACTGGCTCCTGATTTTTGTGCACAAAACATACCGAATATTATTGTTGAAAAATGTCAACAGAAGAGCGACAAGTGGTTATTATTTCCCCAAGGAATAGAAGGGGAAAGCTACCCATTGCTGTAGGTAGTAAGCTCAAAAACTGTGCAATTACATAATTCAATAGTCGGCACGTGTTCAAAGTCATCTTTCAGTTACTACCAGGGCGTGCAGAGTGAAGTTCTGAAGGGCGCTTTTTATTGAAAAGTGAGTACCGGAGCACCGGCAGCTTAAAATCGCTATACCGAACAATCTCTATTACAAAAATTTCTGAGGATCCTGCAATGTTCGTTATAAAATAGCGGCGTTCCACTGCACCTGCAAACCCTCATTTTGACATCAGCCCAGTTCTGTCTCATTTTGCAAGAACATCTCACATATCTCAGCTTTACGCACAAAGCCAGAACCAGTCCGACAAGGAACACACACAGCCTTACCATGAGAAATGTTAACAACGGTTAACGGTTATGGGGTCTACGGCATGAGATAAACCCCTTGGTTAACGAGTTAATTCCACTCACCCTGAGCGTCACTATCAGAGCGGATCTTGATGTTACGGATTGTTATGGGCTCAGAGCGGCCGGTCCCGTCCCCAAAGTAAGGGTAGTTATCCCGTGGAGGGTAATTAACGGACGGTGGAACCTCATATAACTCACCTTCCATCCTGCAACATGAAAAAGACCAAATTTGTAAACACGGTTAAAGCTATAGTCCATCATTTGCAGCTATCTGAAAAGTAACTGGCATAATTATTGTTGAAAAACATACTTAATTGAAAGATAGTAAGGGGACTAAACTCCCTGTGAAATTATTCTTTCTGGCAAACTGTCATTTTGAAGCAATCAACGAAAGAAGGCCTTTCCAACGGTGCTTCTTAAGACGCACCGTAGGTAATTTAAATAAGTAGTTCGTTTTGTTATTCGGTGAAGCACGCGCAAGCATTGGCACGACACACACGCACGCGCGGTTGCTATAATTCGTCGGATCAGTGCGCGACATCGCGTACATGTGGCTGCAATCGGCTCAGTGAGAACGTGTCTCGGACGCTGAATTCAGGCCCAATTCAAAACATGATTCAGCAACTTTTGATTTGAAATTGAGATCCTAGAATGCTGTTTTTCTCGGAATATACAGCTGAAGCTGAGCTTAAACATAGTTGTTCAGTACCCTTCTTTAGATTTTGAGCACTTTTGTTGCTTCAAACGAACAAAATGCACAAATTACAAATGATGGACTACATGTATATCTTTAATGATGCATGGACCATTTCACAGTGGTTTTGAAAGCGAGCTAAACTTGCATGTAGTACCGGTACCTCCCTACTTGAAGACTGCTTACTCTACGTAAGCAACCTACATGTACATGTACATGACCATAAACATACAGGTACCGTAGTTCAATTGCTGATATCTATTGGAGGGTATGATGCCATGGAACCTCAAACTCCAACCTTAGAACCAGCTTCCATGTAGAAAAATGCTACAAAGGAGTTAAACAAAAGCTTGCAAATGTGCCTCACTTTTGTTTCAATGCGGTGATTTTGCACAAAGGGCGGACGACATCAAAATTGTACTTTTCACTGGGCAAATCATTTTGAAAACAAAAAATTAAAAAAACTGGCACAGGTTGCCCTTTAATTAAACAAAATTGAGTGAAAACAGTATACTGCTATTTCATGAGTTGCATCTGATGAAATAAATGTACAATGTACCCGTAGTTAATGGATCAAATGCTTTTAAATTGAAGGAAAATAACATCTATCTATATTTACCCTCAGCTCTTTTGATTTTATAGGTACATGTACCAGTACACTGTGTAATAGATACATGCACTTCGCCCACAGCTTTTGAGTACAGCTTAAAGGGAATGTACATCATTGGCTTTTGCTGTAATTTTCAGAAATGAACTATTTTGAGGGGTTAGTATAACAGATCAAATATTGTTACACTGACATGTTTGAAGTTTTGTGTTCAAAAAAACTGGAAAAACCAAGAAAAGCAAAAATGTTCAAGTAGTCTGGTTCCCTGACTTCACTAAAGATAAAATGGACCAATTTATAGATGACGGAATATTGTACGGTATAAATGGAACCAGTCTAACTGGCCTGCTACCATTCATGAACATGTAACCAATAGCAAACAAAATTTGGACTGAAAAAAAAAAGTTAAATTTGGAGCAGTAGTTGAGAAATAGTTAGGTTTTTCCAACGGTGGTCGGCCGACCACCGTTGGAAATTTACACAAAATACCACTTTTCTTGAAAATGACTTCACACATGGTGCCATAATTTTACAGGATGATTTAGACTGTAATTTTCCAACATCCTAGTAAGGTATTTCATAAAAATTGGTAGGTTTGTTTTTCGATGTTTGCAAATGTTGTATATTCCCTTTAAATTCCAAATGGGAAAAATAACTTACTACATGTATTATTACCGATACTAAATTATTATTGAAATTAATGATTTTTAGCAATACGCCTTGCTGTCAGTGTCACCCATGATGTAGTACAGCAGAACTCAACCTAAACAAGTGCTTTGGCCGAAGAAAGAAAAAGCTATTAAATTTTCATCAGGTCAGCCTACTGGCAACATTGCCCGATTCTCATAAACCTTGAAGTCATAACGGTGCACTTGACACGTCAAATTGAATAAACGTAAACGCTTGACTGCGGCAGAACTAGAGACTATATATCAGGTAATTGACAAAGGTGAAAGTACATGCGACAGTTAATTAAAATACTGGAAGAGAAATGAAAGGTGAAGATTGGTGTGACAGATTTAGAGCAACTGTAATATTTTGTTAAACAATTTTTCGAGTTCGCATTTCCTCAACTGGGTACTGGAATTAAAAGGTAATTATAAATACAACCTTTGATTTTGCTGTAATTTTCAGAAATGGATGGATTTGGGGGTTGGTATTTTACTGTGTACAGCAAATATTGTTACACCGACCTGTTTAACGTTGTGTGTTCATAGATGCTGGGTTAACCAAGAAATAAAATGCTGTTGTAGTCTGGTTCCGTGACCCTACTCCAGACGAAAAGGAGTAGTTTGTAGACATGTAGACAAAAAAAAAGCTGTGCTTGTAGTCTGGTTCCCTGACCCTACTCCAGACGAAAAGGAGTAGTTTGTTGACATTGTCAGGTCAGGGAGCCAGACGAGCTGGCTTGCACCTGTTCGCAGATGTGTATAAAAACTGATTGCAAACAAAATGTGGACTGTAAATTTGGTACAAATGGTGGACTTCTCATCAGAGGTACAGTGATACTGGTGACTATTTTTTTTGCACCATTTCAGGGAAGAAGGGAGAATTTTCGTAAGCAATTAAAGGGAATATACAACATTTGCAAACATCACAAAATGAAAATGATCACAAAATACCTTAATGGATTGTTAGGGATTGACAGTCTAAAGCATCCTGTAAAATCGTGGCTCCTGGTGTGCTGACATTTTCAAGAAAAATGGTATTTTTCCAAAACTGGTTGGCTTACCAGCGTTGGAGAAAACTGGCTTTTAAAAAAAAAACTGGTTGCGAACTCTTTGCTGCAAAAACTGCAAAAACTCTTTGCAATTGATTACACACCTGTGAAGGGGTACAGGCCTGCTAGACTGATTCTCTGAACTTACAATTCCCCAAAGTCTATAAATTCTCTGTTTCATCTTACGTGGGGACAGGGAACCAGACTACAAGAACATGGTTGGTTTTCTTGGATTTTCCAGCATCTCTGGACCCAAAAGTAAAGCAAGTCATTTTAACAATATTTGCTGTAACATACTAATCCTCCAAATCCATTTCTTTCTGAGAATTGAAACAAAAGCAAATGTTGTACATTCCCTTTAAGTCTTTGAGGGGAACTGGCAGCCCAATCAATTTTAATTTTACAGACGATGCAGGAATACAGAACCCGCAGCATCGCAACAACAGCAAAAATAAGGTAAGATTACTGCATTTCGCGATCTCCCTTTAAGTGTGTTTTGATCCAGCGTGTGACGTCAATGCAGCGCGCCTTGACCGCGGAGGTTGCGTGCTCCAAACGGTCCCTGCCCGTATAATCAAATCAGGGTACAATTATACACGGCGCACTGATAATATGTGGCCACTCTGCCTGGAGGTATGTTGGAATTCGCTTATTGGTTTTCGCTTCCTTTTTTTTTTGGCGGTTGATATTATTAGCTGGTTTTTAGTGTTTGTAAAGATTGCTCAGTCATTATTGAATCATTTGTTTGAGAGCAGAGTTTGGTAACATGCACCTGCATTTTGAAGGGATATTGTGTTGAAGTGGTGTGAATTTTAATATTAGGATTTGATTTTCACCACAATTTGTTTATCAAAGCACCAAAATTTCGTTAAAATATACAAACAATACTGCACTTCAGCCTTAGAATAGAGATACTGACACATGACTGAGGTACGTGAATAGAACTGTTTAAGGGGCTAATGCAAAAATCATTAGGCTGTATCTCGAGGTTTTATGAGGTTTTTCAGGGTTTTATGAGGTACATGTACATGTACATACATGTACATTGTGCCTCGGGGTTCAATCTCAAAATTAAACCATTTTTGTTCAACCCTAACTCCCTAGGCATTTTTGCTAGGATGCAACCTCAATCCTGCCAAATCTTCCAACTGCCTCCATGTAAAAATTGCATACAGCCTCAATCCTCCAAAATGCTCCGTTATTTTTTTAATGTGGTGCTTGGAGGGGTGACCACTGCCTCAATCCTGCAAAATCCTCCGGCAATCACTGTCAATATGTGGAGGCAGAGCCAGTGACATCCTGGAGCAGTGAGGAGGATTTGAAGCATCATCTAGGCCTAAATACATGCATGCATGACTGAGCATAAACAACACAAGATCCCGTCCAGCACAAGACCTTTATACATTGCATCCTCCCAAATCAGCCACAGATTTTTGCCATACATGTACCGATACTTGTAGCTCTAGGCTCAATGAGGATGCAAAATTCTCTGTTTTGGAAAGAGGATTTTGGAGGAAGTACCTACTTAAAAATAGCAGAAATGATGCAGTACTACCTTAGTGCTGTGTTAATGTTATCAGATATTTGTACTCACCGATGACGCTTACGAATGACATGTAAAATAAATAGCATTGCCATCATTTAAGACAATACTTCAGTCAATGTGCTCACAAATGGCCCTTGCACCAACTTGTCATACACAGCTTCCTCTAAAATGCCATCGTCAATTCTGCTATTTTTATACTCTTTTTATACGATAACAAATCACATGCTTCATATTCATATTTTTTTTTACACATCTATTGTACATGTACTTTGTACATGTACTCATATGCCACAAGTAATTATAATTCCCTATACATACAGCGTATTATATGATTAGTAACGTACACGTGAGTCGAGAGTTAATGAATTCAAAGAACTAAAAAGCAAAAATGGAAGTAAACATTGTGAATGTTTACATTCCACATGGCACCAGTGTTGCATCAATGCAATTGACGTCAAACCAATCCCATGACTGCAATTTCTAGTTCTACTGATAACAGAATTGTCATGTGCTATGGGCAGATCAGTCAACAGGAAACCCTCCTATGGAATCATCCATTCTGAGCAATGCTGTCACTTATTGGTCAAGTGACCCATTGTTTGTTAAAAGTACACCACGGGAAGTGGAAGGAAACTTTGA